ATACTTGCTGCAATTGTAAACCTCTCCCTCAAATGAAATCGGAAGTCTCCCCCATGCACTAGGTTGATGCCATGTGTATTTATTTCATTGCTCACACATGGTTATTCTTTGACTCTTGTTTAAATTAAGGAATGATAGAGCGATGTGATCATTTCTACACAGGCTGGATTTGGTTTCTTTTGGAGAGTGAAGGCTGGGTAGCTATTTTCATTTTTACAATTGGTCGCCAAAATTTCTCAAAAGCTGCTAAAGACATTAGCAGACGCCTGCCCTAGGGTGTGTGGTGACAAATAATCTGTAGTGCTTCCTTGCTAGTATCGCCAGTGACTCTCATTCCTGTAATGCATTTAGCTGCATATCACTTGGACTTCTTTTTCTAAAGTTGAATTTTGACTCCCCTTGAATAAACATCATAAATGTGCCTGAAGTCAGCTCCCATGTCCTGGAGCCCAGGGAACAAATGAACAATGAAGCATCTGTAAACTTTTTACTGTCATGAGAAAGAGAGATAGACAGGAAGGAAACTTATCCAAAGTGATTCATCTGAAAAGTAAACTTTCTTATTCAAAACTGCAGAAAAAAAGTGTGTTTGTAAATATTGAGGGTTTGAAGTAGGAATGTTGACATCCCTAAGTCATTGTCCTCCTTTGAAAATACAAATATCTGGGCTTTGGCTAAGATGAGGAGCTGAGAAGACCAAGTAGAAAGTCTTGGCTTTGATTTCATCCAAGCTATTAAGGATAATACTTTAAATAATGTCTTTCTTTTGATTGGACATAGGACAATGCAGCATACTTTGGCCCACTTGGCTCTATTGTAGTAAAGTCTGGGATAAATGTGACGACCATTAATGTACATACTCAATCTAAAATAGCACTTTTACAAATTGTTTTTGCTTTCTTTGTTCAGTTTAGTTTTTGTTTCTCTTTTCAAGAATAACTGATCTCCATCAAAGCATACTAAGAGTATGCTTAACAAAAAGGTAATTTAATTAGGTGTTCTGAGCAGTTAGATAATTTGATTAAGATTATTCTGTCTGGTAAATTAATTAACCTATATAGAGTTATATCTATTTAGACAACAGCATGTGTCCTTCTGGCCTTCACACTAGACGTTCTCTTGCAAATTCCTTAAATCTCTATTGAAATATTTGAAGCATTGAGTCAGTATTTGTAATAGTTTTGTTTCTCGGAGAACTACAAAGATTTCTCAGAGCACTACAGAAATTAATTATATCCAGAAGTTAGTATTCGAAATTCCATGAGTACAATGCAAGTTTCTTAAGAAAAGGACCCTACTGTAAATAATAAAGGGATCATGATAATGGTGCAAACAAATACATTTTTCTACATTTCGAAGAAGAGCAAGAAGAAGAAGAAGAAGAAGAAGAAGAAGAAGAAGAAGAAGAAGAAGAAGAAGAAGAAGAAGAAGAAGAAGAAGAAGAAGAAGAAGAAGTTCTTTCTGACTCACAAAGAGGGCAACTATTTGTCTAGTACTTAGACAAACTTAACATCTTTTGCTCTTCTTTTAAAAATCAGTTCTACTGTTCTTTGCCTCAGTGTTTCAAGGCTTCCTTCTCACATAACAGTAAAGTAATCCCCAGTAGGGTGTTAGTTGATGGCCTTAGGGTGTTACCACCTCCAAGGGTATTTGCATTTTAATGGAAGGCTTTAAAAGAACTTCAAGCATCTAGTCTGAGAGCAATAAATCTCTATTGGTGGAATTTGAAGCAATGTGATAGATTGGGCAGGAGATATCTGTGGTGAAAGGAGCCCACTGGGTTTATTCTAATCACAGCATGAATTAAAGTGTTCCTACTTAGTGGTAGCCTGACTTTTGCTTCCAAAGTGAAAGTTGTGAGGACAGCTCCTGTGGCCTGAATAATGAAGTACTCCTTAGCAGCTTCATTTTCTTTAAAAGCAAAACAAGTCAAAGGCTAAAAGTTCAAATCTTTGAACTCTCCTTTTCCTCCCGATTTTCTCCAAATGTATACCTCCTTAATTGTGCTTGAGGTGTACAGGTAGGATATGTTTAGACTTTCTCTAAATTCCAGACTTTGTGTGTGTGTGTGTGTGTGTGGGTTTGTATGTGTCTTTCTTATCTTTTCAGAAGACTTTTTGCTCACTAGAATTTGCAGGGCAGGGTACTTGTGAAGTCCTGGGTGAAGAAGGTGGATTATTAGTCCATCATGAAGTTCTGAGAGTAAAACAGTTTTAGGACCAACAGAGTGATAATAGCTTAACCCCCATTGATTCTGGACTATCCTCACTCATAGAGTCTAATGCCTGAAGTGGTGACACCGAACAATGAGTAGGACTCAGCTAGGAAATGTGGAGTGGAGGACACATTTTCATAGGAATAGTAGCAGAGGGAAACTTTGCAAAAAATGGTGTAATAAGAGACCCAAGCCACCCACTGTTCAGCTCAGTGTGGTGGGACAGGATCTGTAATCCTAGCATGTGGGGGGCTAAAGAATGTGTAAAATGAGTTCAAAGTCATGCTTCTGATATATAATGTAACCTTTTTTTCAAAAGAAAAAGAGAAAAATTTGAAAAGAAAGTAAGATATTGAGTAGAACCAAATAAAAAAACAATACACAAATGGTAAAATAAAATAGTAAAACTTGAAAAAACATTGGTCAAGTATATGGTCTGTACTATGGCCATGGATTGTAAGTCCAATAAGGAATATATTTTTAGTCATACATATATAAAATATTTCTTTGAAATACTATTTGAGTCTTATCAATATATGGCAAGACTAGGACCAAGTAGGGGGTAGGTCTTGGAAGAGCTGGGCAGTCTGTAACAGTAGACCAAATAAGAAATAAAGAATGATCTGGAACAGGAGTGGGACATAGGCAAGGACATAAAGAGATGTCTTCACAGAGATGATATTTTAGCATGCAAAAGAAGAAAGGACATATCCAAGTGTGGACACTTGGTTTCATCAGTCAGTTGCCATTGTGCTGAACAAGGGAAAGAGAAATCAATTTTAATGGGGCACTTGCTGAGTTCAGATTTGGATAAGCTGAGTCTTAGATTATTATAGAACATCTAAGCAGGGATGTCAACTAGATGGGCATCAATCTGTCCGCATCCCAGAGGAAGATCTGGACTGTAGATGTATGTTTAGCTATTAGTCCTACTATCTAAGTGATGACAATAGAGGAGTTCACTCAGGGAGAATGGATACTATCAAGAGGCATGCCTGTACATTGATCCCAAGCAAATGATCAGTTAAAAAGCCAGAAGAATCACAATGAAGAATAAGAATAAGTAGCTGGAGAGATACATGAGAGCAATAAGCATGAGGGTATCCATATTGATTTACAAGACAGATAAAGTTGCAAATAAGCCTCCTGCTCTCATTCCAAAGACCTCTAGGATCTAATGCTAGGCAATAAGTCTAGCAGTCTCAATCTGTGTTTCTCTTGCTATTTGAGCTGTGTCAGTTCCACAGAAGTGATGCTACATTGAAGAGTTCTGTGGTTCCATCCGAGAAGTGTGCTGTTCGCCTACACATTTAACACCCACTGAAAATTTTCTTACAGTGTTTCCCTTTGCCATCTTTTTTTTTTCCTGAAAATAGAAGTCTAATCATGTAGTGACTATGCTCCTATTAGCACACAGATTGCCAATATGGGACCTAGCACAATACAATTACATCATAGTTATTTGTGAAAAAGATTCTTCCCTCTTGGCAAGACTATAAGCTCCTTAAGATAAAGAACTCACTCCCCCAAATTAGCCTCCATAGCGCAGTGCACTGCTTTGAAAACAGCAGGTACTTAGTAATTATTTGCTCAGTGACCATGCTTATTACTTCATAAAATAAAAGAAATAAGTTTTTGTTTTATCTTCTGAAACAAGGGAGTTCAGCAGAGGCAAACATAGGAATGCTTGAGGACAAAGGATGGATGTATTCGATGTTTTTTATGTATCTAGGCACATAGTGGCCAAAGAAATAATAGCCTATCAAAAGCGCATTTATAATACTGAGGCAAAATGAAAATGTAAGTATTCTTATTTGTCTCAAAGACTACAAACGCTACACTTTTGGTGACATTTTCTTACAAAACAGCATATACTTATCTCTGTATTTGCTTTTGTAACTTAAGTTATTAATCTTCCCTAATGTGCATGTGAAGGACAAGTAGTGCTAACAATATAAGCACATTTTTTATTTTTCCTAAAGGCAAATTTGAGATGCCACATAAGCAGTTTTTCAATGATACCCTACAAATAATCCCAAGCCTTTCCAGTTTTCTCTTGCACATTAAAAATAAGACAACTTTGTAGGATTGTTCAGTTAAATAGAATAAGGGTTAAATGATAACTTGACTTATCTTTTAAATGACAAAAAATAAAGAAATTGCAAGACCTTTTCACACATTAGAGATGTATTGTCATTTATCATCTAGATATCAGGCTAGCAGTGCGAAGTAATAAAACATATCATCGAAAAATGTGCTATAGGTCTGAATCATTCTTTCATCCCACCTCCCAGCTAACTGCAGTATTAAATCAAACAAGCAGAACATTTCCTTAGGCAGCCATTGCCTTTTAATTTCCTGAAGAACCTTAAAATATCATTCATTACAAGTACTACACATATTTGGTTTTTAAAAGTCTCATAAATCAATAGCAGGCTGACTGTAATAATTATTACAAGTTAGTGCATAATTTTCGCGCTGAAGGCTGAATGCAGAACTTTAGCATATGCAAACGAGGCAATTCAAACTGTGTATAGATATTAATATGAAGAAGCAGGTAACGAGGTGCAGGCTATGAATTATGCATCAGGAGTGGCTGATCTTCAATGAGGAAAATGAATTCAGCATGTAATCTAATTAGTGATGGAAGTCTATTACATCTAACTGCAAAAGCAACCGTCCTTGAAACAAATTTATTTACAGTCCATGTTACCACTTGAAACAACTTTGAAATGATGTGTCAGACAACAGCTTAATTGTAAAATTTTTTGTTTGTTTGTCTCAGTTCCAGACCTGGAAGGCCTCCTAAGAGGACTCAAAGTGTCACCTCCCCAGAGAACTCTCATATCATGCCACATTCTGTCCCTGGCCTCATGTCTCCTGGAATAATTCCACCAACAGGTAAGGGTGTGATTATTTATGCCAAAACATTAAATATCAACCAATATCACAGATTTTATACATACCCATCATTACAATGATATTTGCATGCTTCCTTTTTATTTTGCAAACAATAGTATTCTGATAAGAGTATTTTAAAAGTGTATGACAGTTACTACAATCTTTGTGAAAATAAAATGAAATGAGCTGAATTGATAAAAGTGATAGAAGTCATTTAAATTATCCCCCTACAAATTTCATAAAAGAAAAATGACTAGTCCTAGGGTTTTTTGTTTTTTTAAACCAAAAATTAGAAGCTCAGAAAAAATTAGTAACTTCTCAAGGTCAATTGCTGAGAGCTACCAAAAATAACTCAGGAATACAGATATTCATGCAAATAGGAGATATAAAACACAAATGCCAGAAATGAAATTATGTTTCAAACTTTTCCATCATAACCATTTAAAGGAAGGTTTTTTTTAGACTTTTAAGGATATGTAAGTGAAAACATACTGTAGAGTGTGCACGCGTGCACGCACACACACATACATACAAACACACACACACTTTGTACTATAAGTGACCATAAATTATAATAAAAAATTAACCCATTTGATGTATGTCACTTGGCTGTGTTTGTTAATTCTGTTATGTACTTTTCTATGTTTGTGCTCACTTTTGGTTTTCACCAGGAAAGAGCCAGAATTATGAGATTAACATAATTAGCACGCTTCACTCTTGTTCAAGGAGGAAATACATGTCTATTATGCAATGCAAGTAAAATAACAGAAATCTCTTGGAAAAAAAGATTTCCTTTCTCCTCACATGCATAACACAGCTAGCCACAAACTTGTAATTCTTCTGCCCCAGCCTCCCGAAGAGCAGAGTTAGAGGTGTGTACCACCAACCGAAGTTAAACAGTATTTTCTCTGAACCTCTATCAGTATTGTCTTCTTTGAACATTGTCTTCCACTATGTTTTAATATAATCATGGGCACCTAGACACATTCTGCTGATGGGCTAAAGTTCCATGAATGAAACACATATTCAGTTTTTATGTCAATACCCAAAACTCAATTTTGTGAATATTATCAAGTATCATTTCAGCTTGTTTTATCCTATTTGTACATTTAGTACTATTCTTATCAATGTTCTGTAAAGTTCCTTTTATACTGCATGTTTAAATGAATGAATGGGTGCAAATGTAATGTGAAATCAATGAGTAGCTTTTCTCGTGCTGTTAACATGGCTTGCACTGTCAGCTCTAGAGACACCTTCAAAGACCAAGGCACAATTATTCTTCAATGACACAGGTGTCTCTCAGGCCAGTCAAACTAGTAAAATGAATCACCTCACTGCTCTTTGAAAGTTTTGTTGTCTTTTAGACTATATGGAAAATTTAATTTTGGGTGTGTTGTATAGCTGAGATATTCAGGTTTTATGGGAAAAAGATCTGAGCACATCTGGCACACAATAATTTCATATGGATTTTTCTAATTAGTCATTCAAATAATATTTTCCTGTACTTAGTAGGCTGATTTTCAAAAGTTACTTAATCACAGAATACAATTGTGCATTTTATTCATTTAAGAATACTGAAGATCTGATTCAAATGTTGCCTTAAGTAATATTTAAATAGAAGATGCCTTCAAAATCTCAATGGAGCAACACTCACATAGCATCATAAAATAACTTGGGCTCAGTAAGTGAAGTGAATAAAACAAGTTCACAAAATGCAACCCACCACATTATGTAACTTTTGAAAAGTTTCCCCCCTCAAATATTTTACACATTATTGTATTAACTAGACATGAGAGGTAGTTCCAGCTTGACTCATCATTAGACATTCATTTTTCACATCAGATCATTTTAGAAGTTTCAGTTATGAAGACATTCTTCTGAGGCATAATTTTAACCTCTTTGCTCTTTGAAAGGTGTTAAGAAGCCATCAGCTAGGGTTTTCATCTAGCTTACCAAGCATTGCACTGAAAAGGTGGGGTGATGCTTCCTGTGTAGTATAAACAGGAGGAGATGGGGAGTCTGGTGTAGTTAAATATTCTCTTGAGCCCTGACAAGTACTGTGGATAGTTTGGCTTTCTTACTACAATGGTTTTCACCTGTTTTTATTTTTAGACAGTAGTCCTAAGACTTGAAGTCACCCAACTGTGAATGTTGTTCATCAATGATGTTACTTTAATGGAGATGATTTAATTACTCTTTTCAAAGATCCCCCCCAGGAGGAATTAAGGATTTTAGCAAACATGAAATCATATCTCCACATATGAGAACATATTATTTTTTATCTTACTCGCTGGAGTTGAAAATTTCTTTTTTGAAAGACACAGTTAGCATGTTTCTGACATGAATACACCTATCAAAGTGCAAGTATATCAACCTCAAATGGTAAAGCTACTGAGCTTCAAATCCTAAGGTGCAAGTTGCAGATTATTTATGAAGACTCATCTGTCTTTGTATCCATAGAAGTAACTTCTAAACTTTTAAAATATTTAAATTTTGTTCAGTCTGCTCCTGTGAAAATAAGATCTATTAAATTTGAAGAATATATAGCTATCTATTGATTCATTGCTGGTCACTCAATTATTTTTATTTTTAGTAGCTGATCCTCAGAATGTGAAAGCATCTGTTTTCTCAGAAGAAAATGACGATAAATGTTAAAAATTAATAATATTTATAATTAAAAAGATGAAAAACATACCAAATACGAAATTAAAACCCATATGACTTGCCTGAGTAGGTTTGCATGTAACCTTAGGAGAGGGCATGAGTAGGTGGCCATAATTTCCAAAAGTTATGGCTTTGTCAAAGTACCATAACAACTTGAAGTTGCAGTTCATGAAAGGAAGGAACCTTTTTGTAGACTCTCACAAAGCGATACACCTCCTGCAGTGGTCACTACATTTATCCTGACTGAGCACTTGTCATAAATCATTTTTGAAATATGCACCAGTTTGGATTAAATTCATCTTAGCAACAGAGCTCTAATAGCGTTCAGACTTTTTATAGAATCATGTCTATTATGCAATTAAGGAAAGGATATTTAGGAATTTAGAATACTCCTTTCTTTGTGCCAGAAGTGCAATTTAGATAGTACACTCAGCCAACTTCCTGATTTCATGTTTAGGTTAGATTGCAAAGTACTTTTGAAATATAATTTCTCAGTATTTAGTAATAACATATGAATACCCAACACTTGCATTTGATATCAAAGGAAAGGCGATTCAATATCTATTTTTCAAATATACTCAAATAAATGAATGACTCATATTTGCATCTCAGACATTGCTTTTCTCTAATTATGACTTTGTAGACAAATAGGCAACACACATTCAGAGTAATAAAAAGAGCAATTATCCACACAGTAGCATATATTATGCCTGAAGGTAAGAATTTATATCTTGCAAATTCTTAAATTTTAATAATATGCTAGACCAGTCTCATATTAATCAATGCTTAGATCAATTGAAACATTTATATCTTATTTTTTTATTTATTTTTCAGTTTAAATTTAGATAAGAAACAAGGTTGCTTCACAAGTCAGTTCCAGGTCCCTCTCCCTTTCCCTCCCCTCCTCCCGTGCCCTTCCCCAACCCCCCCATTATCCCCTCATTTCCCCAGGGAGGGTGAGGCCCTCCATGGGGGTGTCCATAGTCTGTCATTTCATTGTTTTACTTAAAAAGTAAACATAATATAAACTAGTTAAAGCGCTTTTATTCCCATAGCACAGAATAAATGTGAATTTTGTGTTCATATGTAGTAAACATTATGAATGGATACTTCAATGGTATCCCATGTCCTGTGATAGAGGACTGCCTTTAGGTTTGTTGTCAAGAAAAAAGATGAATATGTCTTCTTTTGCTTCTTTTATGACAGTCTAGTGTGAGTGAACACTGTAGCCTTTTGTATTTTACTAAAGTTTTAAAACTGGAGATGAAAACTCCATTCTTTTTTGGGGGGGCTGCCCTAACAAATCACTATAACCTTGGTGGTAAAGAACTGAAATTTTTCTTCAAGGTTTGGAGGCCAAGATTTCAGATTCAGTATCATTCATCCTAAATCATGGTACCCGCCGGGCCACAAACCTCCTGAGTTTTCAGAGAACTGTCCCTTGAATGTTGCCTGTGTTAATATCTTGCTTGTACAAATAAAGCCTTTCTGAATATTAGAGGATGGAGTGAGTTTACCACTAGCTAACCATAGAAGTCTGGAGGTCTGCATAGACAGACAGGAAGTGTGATGACTTGGCAGAAACACGAAGAGAGCTGGCTAGATACAGACAGGAAATGAGATGGCTAGGCAGAGAGAGGATATAAGGAAGAAACGGGAACTTGCTGTCTTGTCCACTGACATGTCAAGCAGGTAAAAGTTGCTTTGAATTACTTCTTCTCTGTGATCTCTCAGCATTTTCACCTATATCTGACTCCAGGTTTTTATTACTTAGACCAATTAAGAACTCCTTTTACAGTTGGCACTCCTTGTTGTAAGGCTGCTTTGCAGCACTTCATGTCTCTGTCTGCCTCTTTCATTTCTATCTCTCTCCCTGTCTCTCTCTGTCTCTGTTTCTGTCTCATTGTCTTTCTCAACACACACACACACACACACACACACACACACACACACACACACACATCACCGTGTGTGTGTTTGAAATCTCCTACTGCCCCGGTCTTGTAAGGTATTTACAAACAACTTGTCCATCTGGACATCTGATAAAACAACATGCACAAAATTATTTTGGCATATAAAGGAACATTTTCAGGGTCCTAGGACATAATTAAGTAGCTGCTGTCAGTTCCTAATACCCAGCTAGTCTCTGTTCATGAGAATGATGAGAAGTCAATTACAGTGTCTCAGACATCCACATTAAATGTACACAAAGAACATTCTGGCCAGTTTTGTTCACTGAAGTATCCCTTGATGGAGAATATTGCCTGGCATAGGATAGAGATTCAAAATAAATATTTGTTCAGTGAATATTGCTAATAAATATTTAGTGAAGGATT